ATCGACCAGCACATCATGGGTGCGTGACACTCTTGAGTCGACGTAGTGGACGCATACTGTCTGATGGGCACATTTGACTCCCAACGAGAGAAGTTGAAGAAGGTCTCAAGAGTAGAGAACTGTGAGAAGGTTCCTGTCGAAACGCTTACCATTAAAATACTTGGTCCTGCAGTTGAATGCGAAGAATTTACTTTACTGGCCGACGAAGCATTTGTGTTGGATCTCGAGACTGTGTATCACTTTGTAGAATAATATCTACCCTGTTCTAGACACAAAGGCGGACAAGCAAAGATGTCTTGAAGGGAGATTCTCGGATTCGTTGTTGAGGAGAAAGCCCACGCTTTTAATGAAGGAAGCATTCCTTCACGTAGAATGTCCGCTTTCTTTTCACAACCTGTGAGGGGTCATGTGAAGCATTCTAACTATTCTCACGATCCGTTTCTGTGATCACTATCAACCAGGAACCAATCACTGGGGGGGGGGGGGGGGGGGGGTCACACCAGGAACCAGTGACTGTTCACGATCTTGTCAAACAGATGCAGCTTGCGATTTGCTGCATTTCACGGTGTGTTCCTTGGAAGGAAACTACGCGGTCCTCCAGAGCAGACGGAGAGGTCGTCGTTATGGGTTCTGACTGCACACAGAATGAGTTTCTACCCTTCTAAGGGTACCACTTGCATACAATACATATACTACGGGCACTCTCGATTCTGCTTGGCAGTTTGCTTGACAGCGTTTGCTACATGCTGTAATGTTGCGGCCAACAAGATTAGCGAAGCGTGTCTGGAAGTCATGCGTTGTACCGCATTTGGTTGGATCTCTTCGATGAGGCGATGAATAATAAAATCATACTCATCGATCGTGAGAAATCGCCGTAAACAAGTACTGTAAAGCATATGTCGGGCGCACACTTTCGGACCAATCGAGCGAATACGAACTGGACGGACTCTCGGGAGTCTCCCGTCAGTAGAACAGAGAGGGCACGGGAAAAGCGCGACATCGATTGACGTGATTTTTTCCGTATCCATATGGCACTCCCGAATCTAATCTAAAAAAGGTTCCACTACACCGTCGCCCACTCTATCTTTTGAGGGGGGCGTTGTCATAAGGAAGCAGACGTCGCTTCTCCCATCGCTGAGGCCCTTTACCTTTCCGGACATGGCCGTGGCTTGTGACAAACGCAGTCAGCGGATACCGTATACGTAGAATTTGAGAGTGAATGCTCTTCTTTCAGAACGTGTCTCGCGATATTTGGATGCGGTCAGCTTGCTACAAAACGGACGAATGTAGGATATTCATCATACCTTGATTGTTCTACGCGACAACTGTTTCGACAATTCCAATAATGCAACATACTGAAGAATGACAATCGGTCGCGCGCGAATAAAAGTCTGACGATGTCAAGCAGAGACAGAATATGGAAGAGAATATGAGAGAGGACGGCAAAGTTGGAACAAACAGGCGACTTGCTTCGACACTTGCTGTACAAGGGCTAATTATTCCTAATTATTCTCCGGTGTATAGCAATCTAGCCAAATCTCGTCGTTTCGATTTGCTTGCGTTCACATTGGTGCCGTCCTCAACTGTCGTCACACAGAGAACACACTCATACATCACCCTCTGTTACAGAGAAGAGCTCTAGTGCCTATCTGACCAAGCGTTATCATAACATATAAACCTTCGAAATTTATTTCTTTTCAACTTCGATGTCCACGGTTTCTATTTTTCTTTGGTAGGTTGAATCATTTTAAATTTTTTCTGAAGCTATAACAGAAGAGAAATCACTCTACGGAATATTTCTATGCTATTGGTATAAAATTAGCTTAAAGAAAAATGCTCGCTGTAAATCGAATGTTTATTTTGAACACTTTCATGTACGACAACAAGTTAGTTCTCGCTAGAATTGACGAGCAGGTGCTTGCTTTACTTGTGGTGATGGTCTTCTAGTTGCAAAAAAATATGCAAGTTAAAACGCGCTTTAGTTGTCTAGAAAAATAAAATAACTTCTGTCCTCATAAGAGGTCTAACGGTCTGATCTGATAGACTACACTAGAGAGAGAAAAATGTTTCCACTTTTTCTACTCATATCGTCTGCGTCCCCTAGAGTTGCGGTTCCACTCTTGCTGCTGCAATGTGGAAAGGCAAATTTCTCTCTTCGCAATGCGCAGGAAAAAATAATAAAATGGAGAAAAAACTGAGAGGGTGGCCATTGCTTTCGTCGCGTGCGTACATTTTCCATTCTCAAACGATGAGTTGCATCGAGACGTCGTATCCTCTCTGTCTTTCGAAACAGGACCATCTGCCATCCTTGCTGCAATACTGCGAGCAAAGTGTGTGCTTCTCCGTGTTCTGCGAAGTTTGTTAAAAACGAATTCGGGAGGAGTGACACGTTGGAGTCCGTACGTTCGCTGAGTGCTTTCCGCAACTTTTTCCAGGCGCTAACTGCAGTTTGGTGCGAGAGCTCCCCTCTGCCGTAAACAAAAAGTTTTAATACAAACCGGCGTGTATGTTTTCAGCAATGCGAACCCACGGACATCTGTACGGTACAACAAGTTTCCTAACCAAACCTCTTTGACATACGGGGCATGCGATCGACGTAGATGGGGAGGGCAATCTTTAGGATGGGATAAGCTGTGGTGGTGTGTTGTATTTTCAGCGGCTGTTGTTGGACAGTTTTTTTCAAGGAGAAAAACAATTTCACCACGCGACCATAAAATAGCGTTTAAAAAATCGGTGTCGAGGGCTTCCCTTATCTGGGAGTCGTTTTTTCAAAAAGCAAACATGCCTGACAAACAGTATCCTTTGAAGAGTGTTCAGGTCTCTCAAGACCCCAAGCGGTTGTTTGTAAAGTTACTTCCCGTTCCGGAACTTCTAAAATGAGCACCGGCGGTGTCATCTTCGACACGGCACACGACGCAGGCGTCTCGAACATATACCAAGTGGAGGACGAGTCGAATCCTGTGGAGTAGTGCTGTTTCCAATTGATGAATCGGTCGCGCAGCACTCTCGAGTGTGGGCTTTGTAAAACTGCCTCGAAGGTATGAAGACACACTTGTCATAGCTGCAACTCATAAATCTCTCGCTTGCGCAACAGAGCTCAACGACCGAATTGGACTTGCGGAAAAAAATCGCATCTCGCTGTAAGCCCGCCCTTCACAGTGACAAAAGTTTCCATATTTTCCTATATCCGATCAACTAATCAACATTACAAGTGCAATCATGCCCGTCTCTGGGACTGCTCCCAAGCAACGTGTTTTCACGAAAGCAAAGAATTGGAAAAGTGATCTGCTAGGCGCCTGGCGAAAGTGGGTCGCTGGGTCGGGCAAGGAAAGGAAACGCGTCGCGCCTGCAGCTCGCCGAATTGCAGAGATACAACCACCCAACTGAAAGGTGCAGTAACGGTACTGTAGGACGCACGGACTGAACAAGGTACCCTTCGAAGGGTACAGATTATTCGAACAGTCGAAGAAGGTCCACAGATTCCGAGTCGCGAGCCCCCCGACGCCATTTCCTGTACCCTTGGTACTGTACGATTCTTGTACTGTACCCTTCGATTCTAGACGCGATCATTAGACCTCTTGTTAAATTTACTGGTACTGGTACCAACCAGTAGCAGCAGGCCCACCGCCATGGGTAATCTGCCAACAAGTCAAACACCACGGGGCTTCTACTGGAAGTGTAAAGATTTCAAAGTATCGAGCAGCAATATGCATGTAACTTCAGCGAAGGGAGAATCTCTCCCTTCGCTACGGAATCATCTTCTGGAAAACCCCGGAGAAACTTCTGAGACCATGCCTCACTATGACGATCAGCATCTTGATGCCGGAAGGTGTTTGTGCAAATGCGTGTACAGTACCAATAGCATGCACGAGAAACGATGTACTGTACGTCTTTTGGTGCACACTCCCTTGAGGGAGCAGTCGGCAAAAGAAGGAACGTGCAAACGCGAAAGTGAAGCTGGGTGGCCAATCTTTAGCTGCGGTGCGGCATACCCAGGATACCATAGAGACTCGTCCTGCTTCTTCTGTTCACCACAACGCCTTGTGCCGTTGGTCGCTCTTTCGTTGACGAGAAGAGCATCCCATGCTAATACCGTACAGTAAGTCATGAGTCTAACGACATGTTTCCGGACACTACGTTCGCGAAGGCAGTGTTGGAAAGCTACTGTATCGTTACCGCCCAGAGAATATCGCAAACGGAGCTTTCGCCGTCTCTTATCTTCACGCTCAAACGGTTTCGCACTCTTTCGGAGTCGCCGAGGGTGGAAAACTATCCTGTAATGTCGATATGCCGCTTTCTGATCCTACGGCGGTGTCCCGCCGTAGTTGTTGCCCTCCAGTCGCGATGGTCATGATGTGGTGCGCGACTGGTCAGGAGCAACAAACCTCAAGCATGCATTTGCCTCTCGAGAAAGGACGTTCCCCACCATGCCTATGATTCATTTATAAACGACTCCGCTCGCGTACCGTAAAACGTCCAGTCGTAAAATGCATCCGCACAAAAACCCGCCGTGTTCGCTTTCCGTGCCCTGCTGTGCGGCAGAGTCACACTGACTTTTCTTCTCCGCTTCCCCGCATCATACTACGCACCAATTGCTCACATCCTCTGCAGATCCCTCCCACTACAGTACCTGTATACTTTCTCGTCTCTTCCTTCTTCGATACAATCCCGCTGCACCGTCTGTTCGCCGGTACATCGCCTTCTGTAGTGCCAGAGTCTCACCACCGAAACCCAATGGCCGAGAGTGCACAGATGCCGACTGCGTCGTTGCGGAAAAAGTTTCACCAGCAGCCAGGACTTGCGTTGCTGTTTGCACCAACACGACACCTTCGTCGCAAATTCTCGTCTCGTACAACGCGTGCTTTGCAGTCGCCACTCTCATAGATATTATTTCGCCGCTTTGAATACAGCAACAAAGACCTTCTACGGGAAGTAAAGCGGCAGTCCCAATTTCTCCCCCTAGAACCTTTGGCTGAAGAAAGGCGTACAGCCTACATGTATCACCAAGCATACAAGTCATGTACTAAAGCCCCGTTGGCTTCCAAAGCGCTAGCTAGTCTTCTACAAGCAACTTCGCCCTCTCTTTTTAGAGTGACCATCTGCGCTGTCTCCTTCCTCGCCCTTTGCAAGGGCACTGGCGCAAGGCCCGTGTGATCTTCCAGCGTTAGGGACAAGGCATGCGGGCATGGACAGCGGGTTTCGCTCAGCGGGTGTAGCGATCTAATTTCTCCTCCCCGCACGAGGGACAGGTGCGCAACGCCGACAATGCACAGCAACAATACGGAATTTTGCGAGTATGGGAAAAAAACCGGAAGACGGGAGCAATGGCGGAGAAATGTCAAAAATAATTCGACGCCGACGCTCTTCCGTCCGCTACAGTTCACTTTTACAAAATTGTCGCTTTCTTTGGGCAGTAGTCGCACAGGTCTGTTTTCCCTTCCCTGCAGGCTAACCGTCACGCTGAACAAATGGTATGGAAACGAGGCATCTTCCCTCTTCTTCTCTTTGCGAGCCTTTTTACATACACGCCCAGCACTTGTGTGCTGTACACGAAACGCAGGCGCGAGCATGATGGAGTAGTAAAGCACCTCAACGCGAATTCCCTCCGATGCCCTCGGCCTCCAAGCAAAGAAAGAAGGATAAAACCGAAGCGCATTAAATCCTGAGAAACAAAAAAGGAACTGGATCTGTTCCAGCACCGTGTGTGTCTCTTGAGGAGGGTGCGGGGACGGGAATAGACGGTTGCATAAGTAGCGAGTACTAGTAGTGCAATGCTGACTCTTGCCTTCCCCGAATCCTCTTAAAGGGGGGATGGTCATGGTTATCAGCAAAATCGGTTCGCCTTTTCCGGATCAAAAAATCATCTGAAGCCGCGCGTTCCAGGCGTTCAATCCTCTCATCTGCGTGTCGTAGTCTCTCAAGGAGATGGGCATTTGCGCGCTCTAGTTGGTCAACCCTAGATACGAGAGCATCTTGCTCTGTTTTGGCGATGCGAGCCTGGCGCGAATGATCTCTAAACAATGAGTCGCGCATATGCTGAAACATATCCTCGACTGCGAAGCGGTCGAGCAAAACACGCTCTTGAGGGGCGGAAGGCTGACGATCGTGACTTGACCTCGATTGATGCAAATCGTCATAATGCGAGAGTCGGGACATAGAGGCTGAGGCGTGGTGGGGCTGCGGAGAGTGAGGGGTGTGGTGCAAAGAACTGAGAGAAGCACCACCAGCCACAGTCGGGGAGTGTCTAGAGCGATCGAGTCCGCGGTCTTGGGGCCGTGGGGGTCCAATTTGCAGAAGCAGGTCTGGGCGATGCTGTCTGAAATGGGTGTGTCCAAAGACGCAGGCGCCGGGGGTGAGCTTGTGGAAGGAGTACTTGTTGAGTTGGCGGACAAAGGAGGAGAATTGGTTGTGTTTGAAGTAGAGAGGTAGAACCTGTGCCGAGAAGAGAATGGAGTTGTGGACGACGAAGGAGGAACCGGCGGAGGCCCACTCGCAGAGGGAGTTGGTGGAGGGGTCTGACACGAGGGAGTAGAGCTTGAAGATGAATGGGGTGAGGAGTTTGGCATAGCGCTTGATGTCACGCAGCGGCGGTGGCGGGGAAGGCGGGAGCGTGGGGGGTGGACGCGGTCGGCGCGGGGGACTGCACGGTGGC